GACCCTCGGCGAAACCCACAGCCCCCCCCCCCCCCCTCCTCAAATACCGGCATCGGGGGGAGTCCTGTGATCTCTGTGAGATGTATTAAATATCTGCAAATGTTACATTGGCACATTACTTAGAAAGCTGACACTTCATATAAAACATATCCAATGACAGGTTCCCTTTAACAAACTGTAGCTAAGCTCCGCAGGGGGAGCAGCAGCAGTGTGAGCGTAGGAGATTGTTCTTGTGTGTGGATATTTGCTGCCGGGCGAGGAACATCAACGCTTATCGCCGGCCCTGAACAATGGATTCCTATGAGAGCGCCATACAGAAAGGTAGCACCGCATGACCACAAACAATTCACCGCAACTACAGAACGCTGCGCAGCTCTCCGTAGGAATCCAGCGAAGGCGTACAATGTCAGGTACAGCAGCATGTTGTCATGACTAATCCTACACAACGGCTGCATTAGAGTAAAGCTGACCTCCGGGAGAAGCAGATATTGTCCTCATACCAGAGTCATGAATGTTCTTCTGCAGGGTGACTGGTCTTGTCCCCGCCACTCCTATAATAAAACCTGCTCACTGCTGTTCTCTCTCCTTGTGCAGGGTGACTGGTCTCGCCTCCGCCCCCTCCTATAATATAACCCGCTCACTGCTGCTCTCTCCCCTTGTGCAGGGTGACTGGTCTCGCCTCCGCCCCCTCCTATAATATAACCCGCTCACTGCTGCTCTCTCCCCTTGTGCAGGGTGACTGGTCTCGCCTCCGCCCCCTCCTATAATAAAACCCGCTCACTGCTGCTCTCTCCCCTTGTGCAGGGTTACTGGTCTCGTCTCCGCCCCCTCCTATAATATAACCCGCTCACTGCTGCTTTCTATCCTTGTGCAAGGTGACTGGTCTTGTCTCCGCCCCCTCCTATAATAAAACCCGCTCACTGCTGCTCTCTCCCCTTGTGCAGGGTTACTGGTCTCGTCTCCGCCCCCTCCTATAATATAACCCGCTCACTGCTGCTTTCTATCCTTGTGCAAGGTGACTGGTCTTGTCTCCGCCCCCTCCTATAATAAAACCCGCTCACTGCTGCTCTCTCTCCTTGTGCAGGGTGACTGGTCTAGTCTCCGCCCCCTCCTGTAATTTTCTGCAGACAGAATGTAGTGGGTGGAGGCTGCTGAGCCCCTCCCACAGCTCAAGGTTTGGATTTCTGAGCTCTGCCCATCACCTGCAGTCATAATGAGCGCCCCCTCCCCCATTTAGGTAAATACTCCACATCATGAAAAGGGCAGCAAACGTAGGGACACCGCCATTTTGACCGGAATGATTCCTAGATGTTACCGCTTACGTTCTAAGTCTAGGAAGCCAGCGGGGAACTCCACCCATACCTGGAGTATGGCTTTACAATGGGCGACCCCTTCACCAGCCGGAATCTCCATTGCAGGAATTCTTTCTATGGAGCACTGTGGCCACCTGCCACTCCTTTCTTGTGTCAATAGCGGTTGTAGGATCAGGGCGTAACATGGCGCCACACCTAATTCGCCCGGGGTGGCAAGGCCAATCGAGCTGCAGGGGAACCACAAGTCCCAGCACAACCTGTGACTGACAGGTGACACTCAGCAACTGGAGCTGGCCATGGAGCCCATTTCCCACCACAGATCCTAGAACACGTCTGAGTTGTCCAAGGCAACCAAGCCGCTTCTAGCTCTCATTTTTACCCCTGCTGTCTTTGGCCCTAACTGGTTGCTAGGGGCGACAACCATGCTTCACCTCTTCTCCCACGAAGCCGTCGCTATGGGGGACACCTCCCTGTCACGTGACAGCCGCCGCCGCCTCCTCTCCCCTGCAGAATTCCCCGCTCCTCCTTCTTACCGGTGACAGGGAAGCCGGGCAAGCCACACTTACCGGCGTCGGTTCGATACCCCGCTCTCACAGCTCCCACCCTCAGGAATGGCGAACGAAGGCCGTACACGCCCCGCCGTGTGCGCGCGTCTCTGCTTTTCCGGGATGTGCGTAATTTCCGCACGGCGGCCATCTTGCTACTCCCAGAAGCTGAGGCCCTGCGGTGTGGTGGAGAGCGGAGGTGAGGAAGCTGTGTCACAAAGAGCGGGTGGTTGGAGGGGAACTATAAACAGGATGTGAGCGAGGAGCCAGACAATACACGGAGCTGTGGGCGCCTCCTCATAGAAACAGGCCAGGGATGGCCATAATAGACGGGGGAGGGGAGGGCGAAACTCAAACTTGAGTTTCCGTCTGGAAATATACAATGCCAATACAGGGCTTTCCTTCCGAATCATGCGAGTTACCTGGTTGTCATGCTGATTCAATGGCGGCCCTGGCCCATAGCGGCACGCAGATCAATCGTTCTGGGGTCACATTTTCTAATTTGCGCACTTCATTCAGGGGGACACCATGTTGAAGGCAGAGACAGGTGACATGTATTGAGAAATGGCAGCCCCCAAAGTTTTCTTTTTGTGTTGTCTGGAGCGGTTGTTTAAAAGGCCAAACCTTTTTTTCTTTGCTTAGTTTTCTTTTGGGTCACAGGAGGACAATAATAAATGTGACACAAAACTCAGCATATAGCGAGCGACCTGTTACCCACTATGTACTGATGGGGCGGAGCCGCACTGTAGCCGGGATGGATCCCGACACTATTGGTGGGTTCCACCTGCTGCCTGATTGACAGCTGGCTCTGCCTCTATAGAGCCAGAGCCAGCTGTGCCTGCCCTGGTCTATCGGTCCAATGAGTGCTGGAGGAACAGAGAGAGGAGGGGAGAAGATTGGGAGTGATGATCAGCGGTGTGTGTGATCGCTCAGTTCTCATCTATAGGGCCCAGGTGTGACAGCTGCGGTGTCTGGTGGTCTTTATATACACCGTGTCAGTGTATACATTTTTTTAGCATTAAAGGCTCCTGAGACTGCTGTATTTACACAGCAACTCCGGGCTGCCATTATGACAGCAGGGAATTGCCAGAGAAGAATGGGACGTACTACATACATCCTGTGTACATGTATGAAGGTTTTTTAACATTAGTAGCACGTACACTGTCCTCAACTGGTTGAAGTAATATTAAATGCTCAAACTTTTTTTCCCCTAATGATTCCAGGTCAAACAAATACACATTGTGCAACAAAGTATTTCTGTAAAATGTAACCAAAACATCATGTTTCCAAAGAGCTTCAACTCTCTCAGCTTCCCTGATCTTCCTGTCCAGTACAAGGTCACAAGGGACAGAGCAGTATTTCTGTAAAATGTAACTGAAACATGTTTCCAAACAGCTCCATCTCTCTCGGCTCTGTTTTCCTGAACTTCCTGTCCAGTACAGGGTCACAAGGGACAGAGCAGTCTCCAGCAACTGTTCATCTACTATCCTGGAGAAGAAGGAACAGGGGGAGGGGAACGACTCTCTTGCTTTGCCTGTAATGCCGAGGCTCATGTAACGTTCGGTTCACCTGAACAGTGGAGATGAAATTTCAATTAAGAAACATGGAGCAGCTCTAACCCTCTTGTCTCCAATACCGCTGCTGGAACCTCGGTGCCTGGTAAAGCTTCCGCCAGAGCCTTCACTGAGCGATAGGTAAAAACCGGCACTGGTAAGGGGATCCGTCCAGCCAGCACTTTATTTGCATAAAGGCATAAAAGCAGCCAACAAACAAATGCTGACATGTTTCAGCCCCCAAACTGGGCCTTAGTCGGAGCCTAGATATTATCTCACCTCTGTGCTCAGCGATGAAACATCAAAAGGGAATAAAATGCTCCCAATTATAAAATTATTAAAAGAGAACTATGGGGTAAGTGTTATTCCTCATAGTTCTCTTTAGGGTCACGGGAGGACATATACTAACCTCCTCCCGTGACTCAAAGCTCAGTATATAGCGGGCTATTGCCCGCCAAATACTGAGACCGCCGCAGCCGGGACGGATCCCGACAATACTGTCCGGATCCAGCTGGCTGATTGACAGCGAGCTCTGCCTATCTAGAGGCAGAGCCAGCTGTACCCGCCCCTCCCCCGTCTGTTCCTCCAGTCAGCGCCCATTCACAATGGTGTGTTGCAACAACGCACAGAAAACCAGGCATGTTACCACAACACACAGCTCTGTGTGTACAGTGCTTTCATTGTGAATGGAACCTAAACACACTGCACTGTAGCAGCCAATGCAACACTATGTTGCAACAAAAAAAAAAAGGGTCATGCGCATTTTTTACTGTTCGCTGCATTGGCAGCCTATTGCTAATGAATAAGATGCCCTAACAACACATATAGTGTACAACTTAACGTATGTGCTTTAACGCAGTGTAAATGATATGACCATGAAGGCCATATCAAGCAATATTGCTTTTAAAGTGACCCTGTCAGTACGGGGACGCTTGTATAGAATGACATAGCTGGCATAATACTTACCTTTCCAGCGGCCCGTTTGTCGAAATGCCGCTTTTTTGCGCCTTTGTGTATTACGCAATTCCAGATGTGTGAAATCCTCCGCCCAGGGCCGCCATGAAAAATGTTGGGTCTGCAGGACAGGAAGTGAAGGGAAATCTCCCTAATTACACAAGTGACAGTTGTTTCAACCCCTCCGTACCTGTAAAGTTTCGCCATTAGATTTACTGTAACGTAGAATTGTACAGAAGCGATAAAACTCGGCACAGCCACACAGAGGTACCAGGAAAGCTTCGCTCCGTATGAGGAAGCTCCCGAGTCTTCCGTGAATTGCCAAGACCTACTAAGAAATGCGGCAGCTGCTACGGACTGTTCACTGGCAGCTGCAGATATGACCAGTCACGTGAGTGTCATTTGTTCCTGCTCACAGAGGCAGGTATGAGAGAGATCAGAGTACAAAGCCAGCTGTCCCTTTAAATCTCAGCTGGATTACAAGTTGGTTTCTTGTTTTTAAAAAAAAAAGCAGATTCCAGCGGTCAGCTTTCTGGTGTTAAAAGGAAATGTTTACTGGTCACCCTGAGCCAAACCCCCCAGGTACAGCCCATCGTGTCAGCAAAATCCAACTGGACTCATTGCGTACTGTATCACAGGAAATTACAAACAGGGTCAGCAACCCGAAACCTGACAATTTTAAAATTCTCAAGGGACTGTATTGGTGAGGAGTCTACACACCTGCTGTGCCCATTATGAGGGGCTCCCACCATCCCTGTGCTGAGTTCCCGGGTCTGTACACCTGCTGTGCCCATTATGAGGGGTTCCCACCATCCCTGTGCTGAGTTCCTGGGTCTGTACAGCTGCTGTGCCCATTATGAGGGGCTCCCACCATCCCTGTGCTGAGTTCCCGGGTCTGTACACCTGCTGTGCCCATTATGAGGGGCCCCCACCATCCCTGTGCCAAGTTACCAGGTCTGTACAGCTGCTGTGCCCATTATGAGTTCCCATCATCCCTGTGCCGAGTTCCCGGGGTGTCTACAAAAGTGTAACTGTAGACCTGACTCAGCAGGTGATTTGTTGGACCTTTGCAGAGAGACCACTGCTTCCATGCATAGAGCAAAGTTCCCACTACAGTATGCTGGCAGAGGAGAGGCTTTCATACTTGGGCTGTGGCTGCTTTAGAAAGAAAATAAAAAAGGAACTGACTTTGCCCACCTCGCCCACCTTTTGTTTTCATGCACCTGCAGTGTATCTAACTAATGTGAACAGTTTATTTGGGAATAT